GAGGTTGGCCTTGGGATGGAACAATCCAGTCATTTTAAGGTGAGGATTAAAGGCAGAGTGGTTAGGGGGAAATCATCTGATTTGCTGTGAGCCGATCGCTGACCGTAAATAGATAAATTTGAATCGGAGCCTCTTTTGATCCATCTTCTGGTGTTGGCACATGGGAACTTCTTGACTCAGAAGCTGCAGAGCAGAAGATGGGGAACAGAGATGGTTAAAATTGGAATGGAATGGAACAGAACAGAATAAGGAATGGAATGGAATGGAACGGAATGGAATAAGTAATAAGAATAGAGTAAAGTTGAGTAGAATGGAATGGAATAGAATATAACAGAGAATGGAATGGAATAGAATAGAATAGAATATGGACTGGACTGTATTGGAATGAAATGGAATGGAATAGAATAGAGAATGGAATGGAATAGAATAGAATAGAATATGGACTGGAATGGAATGGAATAGAATAGAACAATGAAACAAATGGAATAGAATAGAATAGAGAATGGAACGGAATGGAATAGAATAGAATAGAATAGAACAAAGAAAGGAATAGAATAGAATGGAACGGAACAGAACAGAACAGAAAAGAAAGGAATGGAATAAGTAATAAGAATAAAGTAGAGTAGAGTAAAATAGAATAGAATGGAATGGAATAAAGAATGGAATGGAATGGAATANTCTTCTGAACAGCTTCATTCTGCATCAGGATCCCAAACACTGTTTGGCAATGGATTAAAAAAAATAATAATACTTAGGATGCCCAAGAACTCTTGGATCTGGTTAAACAGTGCCCCCTCTGTACCTCCCACGCATGGATGCGCACACAAATCAGGAGAGGAAATTATTCCTAAAGGGCCAGTTTGAAGATTTACACTCTCTGGAAATCCCATGAATAACCGAGTCACTGAATAAGCATAATATTAGTTTGTAGGCTGCTACTGGAAATTAGCATGAGGGCTGTGTGCAATCTGTGAGCTTGTACGTTTCTCATCCCAGCTCCAATGCATGTGGTGACATGATCGCATTTTTACCCTTCCAGCTAAGGAGATGAAGGGGGGGGGGAACATCACTTAATGTTCTGTGTTGAATCCTACACACTAAACAGCTTCAATCGTAGCACCAACATCTCTTCCAACTTGGGGGGGACAAACATTTTAGTATAAACATCTTTGAGATCTTTTCCCCCCTGCCATTTTGTGAAGTCTCCGTCCTCACTTCCAAAGCTGCTGCTGACGGTTGATTCTTCCTTTTAGTATTCGTAGAAGGCAACAACTTATGTGATGGTCCTGAATTAAATGCAGCCTCGTGATTTGTCAGTGACAAAGACACGTCGTGCGTGCTAGTCCCAGACCAGGTGTCCCTGCTACAATTCAAACTCATCCCCCCCCCCCGCCCCGCACGCACGCATCTCCCTGCCTGTAATTATGGTGTGACTTTCTTTTGAGCAGTTTCAAAGGAGCCGCTTCATTGTTGTCAGAGATGCTTGAGAAGCGAGAGGAGGGTCCTATAATTCGGGGGACGTGTTTCTCCTTCCCGTTCTTGTGCTAAGAATTCAAGTCTCTGAAGTTGGTGGAAAATGGGGAGCAATTTAGATCATTGTGCCGCGAAGAGGAAGAAAAAGGCATGTTGTTGTGTGAGAAGGACAGTAATAAGAATAGAGTAAAGTAGAGTAGAATAGAATAGAATGGAATGGAATGGAATAGAATAGAAACTTTATTGTCACTTTAAATGTACACTAAAATTTCACTGCATTCATTCTCAAAAGATAGCCATTATGCATATACCCACATACACACGCATATATGTCACAGAGAAACATCAAAACATAGTACGAATGTATACATATACGTGGCAAAAAAATAAATAAATCCCGAGAATTTACCAGATTAATGGCATAAGGAACAAGGCTTACAGAATCTAGTAGTCATGCTATAAATACTATAAATACTCCCCACGGGGGAGTAACAGAAACAGACCGTGAAGTGGGTGTGTGGGGTCTCTAACAATGCTTTGAGCCTTAAGCACACAACACTTATAAGCAATATCCTGAATAACAGGAAGCAAGCTTCCTATAATCTTCTCCGCTGTCCTCACCACTCTCTGTAGGGACTTTCTATCTGAGGCTCTGCTGCCACAAAATCAAACAGGGATGCAGCGTGTTAAGACGCTCTCAATTCTTTCTCCATTAAAGGTG